CTCCAGCAGCTTCCCAGAGTGCTTATGGGATAAAGGGAGGTGTCCAGGGATTTGCATCGCTTCATCAGCTGCCCCCATCCCAACCTCTCCCATCTTATGCCATTCCAATTACCTTCCCATTCTATCCCCATCCTGATTCCATTCTCATCCCATTCCTGTCCCCATCCCATTCCTGCCCCCATCTCTATCCCTATTCCCATACTCATCTCCATCCCACCCTTATCCCTGTTCCCATGCTGTCCCTATCATTCAATCTGCATCCCATTCTTGTCCCCATCCTATCTTCACCCCCTCCCAATTCAATCCCCATTCCACTCCCATCTCCATCCCTATCCCCACTCCCATCCTGTCCCCATCCCCATCTCCATCCCCATCCCCATCCCTACACCCACCTGCTGGGGCAGGATCCCGGCAGGTCCCGGGAAGCGCCGGGTCTCCCTGCACGAGGGGACTCGGGGGGACCCCCCGGGGGCCTTGCTGGCCGCTGTCACCAGCTGCACCAGGTGGTTGGTGACCACGGGGGGGTTTGGGGGGCCGGGGGCGTTGGGGACCATGGTGGGATTCGGGAATCCGGGAGCTGTCCGGAGCGGCGGCCTCGGGGACTCCGTGGATCCAGGGGGTCTGGAGGGGGGCCTGGGGGGCTGCTGGGGTTGGGGGCAGCTCAGTGCTGGAGGGGTCTGGGGCCCTGAGGAGGAGCTGCTGCCTCCCAGGGGTGCTTGGAAAGGCCTCAGGGATGGATCCCCCAGAGCAGGGATGGACCGGGACCCTGCGGAGCCTCCCGGCTTTCCCATGGAAATGGGGGGCCTGGGGGTCCAGGAACCGGCCGCGCTGGGCCTCAGCACCACTTTGGGACTGGGGAGGGGGTCCTGCCTGTCCTGCACCCCCCTGGAGGTGGGGATTGGCTCCTCTCCCACCCTCAGCTTTTTGGGGATCCCACATTCCTGAGTGTTCTCCTTCCCTGGGAGTATCCATGTGGGATTCTCCCTGTGCCCGGGGGGCAACGGGGCAGCGCCGGACCCCACCGGCACCTCGGGCCCTTCCAGCTCCTTGCAGGCAGCCAGGAAAAGTTCATTATCCAGCTCATCCTGGTGGGCTGCTCCCCTGGGTGGGGGTCCCTGGAATCCCACGGGATGCTCCCCCTGCCCGGTGAGGGGCCGGAGGGTGGGGGGTTTAGTGGGATGGGGTTTAGTGGGATGGGGTTTAGTGGGATGGGGTTTAGTGGGAGGGTTAACTGGGGCATCGCTGGGTGACGAGTATCCAGGGATCACAAACTGGTTCTCCGCGTCCTCCACGGCGGAGAGGAAATCCTGTGTGGAATGAAAAAAAAAAAGGAAAAAAAAAAAAAAAAAAGCCGGGAATTCAAAACAGCTCCGTGTGATCCCCCTCCCCCCAAAAAAAAGGATTCACCCAAGCTCAGCCAAGCTGCGGTGACCCCATCTTTGCGGGGGGGATTCCCTCACCTCGTCCTCCAGCTCCCCGTCCGTCCCAAAAAGCTTCTGGAAGCGGCAGGACTGTGGGGGGGAGAAAAAAGAGGGGAAAATGGGATTACGGGGGGAGCTCAGATCCCATAAGGACCCCAAAACTCTTCGTGGGGCACCCAAACTTGCCCACCCCCCTCTCACCCCGAGGGGGCCCCCCGGCGACCCCGAGGGCCCCACGGCGGAGGCCTCCGCCGTGGGGCCCTCGGGGGTCGCCGGGGGGGCCCCCGCATCTCTCGCGGGGCACCCCCAAACCCACCTCCATATCCCCGCTCCCGTTACCATGGCAGCAGCGGG